TTTTTTTTTTTTTTTAAACTTTATAATATTTTAGTATCCTTGTTTGCCTCTGCATAATTTTTGAACTGTTCTTTCTGTGCAAGAACTTGCCGTAATCAGCGCAACGTTATCATGCTCTTTTTTATGATTATGTTGATAACTTGTCTTCCGATTATATGCGAATTACACAAACGTTTTTCACTTATTTTTCTCCAGTCACTTCGGTATGGGGACAACAGATGGCGAGCATTACCGGAGCGAGGACGTGGATTCTTGTGAGCGGGTGCAAGTTTCCACACATCCGCGACTTGTTAGTGCAAACGAAATAACAGTACAGCAGCCAACTGTACTTGAGCATGCACGGCCGATTTTAACGCCAACTGAGCGGTTACGTCGCAATGATGAAGTAATTATGAAAGCAATGCTCGACAAGCAGGCTATTCTCGCCGAATTCCTTCCAGGGCCAAATGTTCGTTCTTTTGTTTCCTCTCTCTGTTTAATGACTGTGTTTTGAAGTAGGCAATATCCTCGCAAATTTTCAGCTTTGCCTACCTGATTACAAAGAGGAGCATGACGGCAGCGGTACAGTATGAACACTTGACGGGCCTGTGCATTGGTTTTTCCTGAACTGCATTATTGCTCGGTCTTTAAAATTAAGATCAAAACCAACGCTTAAACTCTAGAAGCTGATTAGGCATTTGGTTCTCCAAAATGTCCATTGGAATCGCCTCCAAATTTGCATTTTCATTGTTAGGCGGCATTTGGGAGGAGTTTACCAGACATAAACAAGTATACATATATAGCAACATATGCAGACGGGCGGATATATCCTCGCCAAAAAGCGTTTTCATTTGAAGCAAAAATGCATAAGAAGTGCCGAATACGGTCTTTGAGTTACTAAAAATAGTGAAAAGCTCTATATTTGTGCTACAGTGCAAAAATGAAACCCAGAGCGGAATGCACCAGGGTAGCCGGTGCGAGCATGCGTTTTTGCCCATCTTTTTACGCAGGTTTCACTCAGAAGCGAGTGCATTTTGCAGCGAATGACCGCCCTCATTCTCTCCCAACAACCAGTCCCAGTTCTTCACTGAAAAGTGGAAATGTTGTTAGAGCGGTGTTTGTCAAAAAATCCAAATATGTAAATGAACTAGATATTGGAAGAGGATGAGGGTAGTCGTTCGCTGCAAAATGCGCTCGTTTTTGAGTTAGTGGTAAAGTTACTCATAACCACCTGCTAGGAATCCCACTTCCAAACAGAATTACGACCACATTTGGAAGTAGAGTTCCCTGTGAATTTTCAGCCTCGCACATTATCCGGTAAGCGAAATAGCCGCTTCGTTACAAATATCTCTGAAATGTCCTAAGTTGTGGCGAAGTGCAAATCGGAGCTCTTTGTTGACGATTTCTCATATGGATGAAGAATATTCTGACAAAATTTCAGTCACTTTTTTCTGGCTTGTTATCGAGTTAGCACAGTTTCAGGTGCAAACTTTGACGTGGCCGCACGCGCTGCACAAACGTGCGCATTGGCTCAATTTGAAATCTTTAGCTTACACATCCACATAGAATATTCCTGCCAAGTTTCAGCTTTCTATCTTGCCTGGTTCCCAAAATCGTTTCTCGCCAAAGAAATTTGCATATTTTCTTCGGGGTCCGTACTCGGGATCTAGGCGCGTACGAGGGAAGATCTTAAAACGGAGGTGGGGGAGGGGGGTGACACACGGGATGGGAATATGTCCCCAAAATGTCAGCCTCACAGTTTTCCTGGTTGTTGAGTTGAAAATGGGTGACAAAGTTCATTCGTTTCCGAAAACACACACACAGACGACTTCTCGACGGTATGCGTTTTTGCTCGTTGTAGCAGCACTACAGCGCTGCACAGCAAAAACGCAGAAAAACTAAAAATTCAAATAAACTGGTATAACAAGTTAGGCAGCGTCACTTTCATTTCATGTAGTCAGGGCGGAGCAGGGGAAGTAGCAGTTTTTTGTGTGCCTTTATTTTCCCGTAATCTCTGTGCATCGCCTGAATTAGAAAAGTATGCAGCTTCTTCCTTAAATCATGAACAAAAAGTAAGAAATTAGCTACGCAACGAACGTTACTGTAAAACGGAGGAACGGAGAAAACTTTAAAGACAAAGGATCTATTTTTTACAGAAAGGTGACCTCGCTGAACTGGAGAAATTAGCCGAACAGTTAACCGGTATGGCGGTTGCCGAGCTAAAACAACGTGACGGGCAAGAGTTGGCGATGAGTGCAATTGTACATGGCAATCGTTTGCTAGATGCAATAAATCAAGGTTAATTATCGCTGGCTTTTTACTACTTATAGAGAAATCGTGTTCGGCATACGTGATCCAGGTAAGATTGCTGGTGCACAACGAAAGTTCATCTCGAGATTTACAGAAGCTATAAGGCTGAAAGGTTGGCAACTCAGTCCACACCTATATGCAGGCCCATATCCTTAAAATGATTGCTAACGACGGCGCGCTTCTTACGTAAGGGCATGCGGGAGATTTTTGGCGAGAAAGCGATTCCGGGAAAGGCGCGAGCTAGAAGGCAAAGACTTCTCGAAGATATTCCTTGATGACGTCCAATCCAAAGATTTTAAATTCAGCCTTCACGTGCGCCTAGGTCTCACGTACGTATGCATCAAATTTTAATCTGGCATCTTGCCAACTCGAGAGTTAAATTGACTAAGAAGTTGCAGAGAGCTATAATTTTATAGTGTTGTTTGCGGTCCACTGATGCGCTCGTGTAAGTAAATTGAGCTTTCTGGCCCCTTGCATTTCACGGACGGGTACGTGGACAGTGGTAACTTCGGAAACGAAGCAGGCAGGGGGCTGAAACTTTTTAAGCATGGCCGATGACCGTGTTTGGGCAGGTGAACGTGAAAACAGTTTTGACGTCTCTTTCATGTCTCATACATTAACACGCAAAACTTTATGTAACTCCTTAACCGAAGCATCTGAAGTGCTAAATTTTTTCCGAATGTAACCGGGACCGAGTTCATTAGTGTCATCGAAATAATTTCTGAAAATCGTTATGGCCAGCCTCAATTCTCTTAGCTAGAAGCATCTGGTGGAAAAAAACAGTGTCGTTAGCGACAAAAAGCTAGAAGCATCTGAGCGGAAAAATGTGCAAAAAACACACCTTCGCGCTGACAGTCGGTGCGCTGCCAACTAGTTCCTGATTTGTTTTGCAAGTATTGGGCTATTTTGACGCATTTTTTGCGATCTTTTGACTAAATCTCATTTGGCGGAAATTTGTACCTCTTGATTAAATTTTGCAATGTCCAGCTCGGATTTTTATGCGTTTTTGCCGGCAGCGCTAGAGCGCTGCAACAGGCGGTAAAAACGCATATTGCAACGACCCTGTCAGTGTGTGTGCGTGTGTGTGTGTGTGTGTATGTTTGTGTGTGTGTGTGTGTGTGTGTGTTCGTCCGTCCGGGTGTTTCAACTC